GTTCTTGGAAGAATTTATAATGAAAGAATCTTCAGCCTTTGGTTCAATCAAACAATTGAAAATCCAACTACTTGTCACATCCCTCGTCTCTTTCTCTGTCGTACGTCTTCCTCCTTTGGGCTTTCTAACTCTTTGTTTGGCTCCTCCTTGGATTTATGAAGCATTGCAGAAAGGGCAACTCGTCTTCATAAGTAGGATTTTTAAAAAGTGGGGTGACATCGTCTGTTCTTCTCTGCTTCCTCTTTAGTTAGTTCACCGAGTTGTACAAATTTTCCCTACTCTCGAATTTTTCAATTGTATGGCACGCACTTTGCTCAATTGGATTAGCTTCGGGTTCACTTGGAAAAATTACTTGGTCTCTTTCAACCAATTAATATCGCTGCAATTTGACCAACTTGCTAATTTTCCAAATTTGCTATTGCTCGATTATTTGCTTGCCCCTTCCTGTTGGAGAATTTGATGCCCTTCAGTAAGAATTTGCAAAAATTGAGTGGTTGTTTGCTAATATTGCATGTTACCATGAACCAGCTGTGCAAAAGCTTCTACCCTAATCGACCCTAAGGAGGCAAGGTTTGAAATCGAGAAGCAATGAGTTGAAGAAAAAGGCACTAATTATAAGAATAATCTTCTTTATATATATATCAATAATAAAATGAGAATGCACTACCTCAATGTAATATTATTTCTGAAAAGGAAATATAAGAGGTTTAATTAGGACAGCATTACCATTAACATTCAATTTCAAATTTCCAAAAACTATTTCAAATTTTTGGTTACATGGTAAAACATCACTAAAGAACAATAATAATTAAATAGTAGACATGGTCAATACCTATGTCATTGAACTTATCTACTATACTCTCTCAGAAACTTGCATACCAAGTCTCTTTATTATTGTTTTGTGCATTGCCTTAATACTGTGTTTCAACATCGATCGATCAGTAGCCACGAAACATTGGGAAGACAGGGAACCTCATCAATCCGTCCTTACAATGTAAACCATCACGCTCGCCGCAAGCGAAGTAGTAAGGCTGCCACCTCTTGAGAACAAACTCAAAGCCGTCTCCGCCTCCTTGTGTTTGATTTCCCACCATTCTTGCTCGACTCAAGTCACAGTTCAAGAAGCTCCGAAAGTCTTGGAACAAGTAGACGCTGTGAGGATGTGTGGTGTTATTCGGTGGATCATACTTGAAAACTGCAAAACACGCAAAACACCATTTTATCATGTAACTATAGTTGTTCAATTCTATGAACAAAAGAAAAAGCGTTTCTCATGGTGAACAAATTGTGCAGAGAAAACATTCTAGTTACATTAGAATTTAAGTGGGCGATATTTTTTGATTTTAGGTCGACTGCTTGACATGTTATGTTTCAAAGTTTTCGATAAAATTTGCAACAAGAATTGAATACCTGGGGGGGAGCTAAACAAGTAAGATCTTTGCAAACAACAATAAGTAAAGCCGAAAATGCACAGAAAAATGGATACTCACCGAGAGTGTCCTTGATGTAAAATGGTCCATTCTTCAAAGCCCATTCTGTGTAGTTGAATCCGAAATGCCAGTTTTCTGAGCCACCAACAACGATCTTGTTTGGTCCTTGGGTCTTATTGGGGTGATATGAGCCATGGCTGAAGCCCCAACCGCTGTAATTACCATACTGCCAATCCTTGTTGGCTGTGCTAACCGCCAGCATTGAAGCAATTAGCACCATTGCTAGTGTAATTTGAGCATAATTGGAACCCATTGTTCTCTATCAAATGCAACAACTGGAGGACGATAGGGTGAAATTGAGAAGCTAGAGGAGGATGAAACTTAAGAATGAGATTGTGGTGAATTTAGAATGAGTAAGTTGGTGCTTTTGTAGGCCAATTAAGTAATGCAAAATGACCGAATTTATAACACCTTTTCAACGTTGGTGGGTACGATGAAGAAAATAAGTCCTAATTAAGTTTTTAAGTCTCCCCCTAAGAGTCACTCTTCCACTTATGTATCTTAATTTCTCCCTCTCTGTCTCAATCTTCATGCTTAATGCTTTGCTATGTCAAGAATGAGATTTGTGTTTCCTAATCACCAGAGTTAAGGAATCAAATTAATTGTGATGTGGATTAGAAATATCCATATTGTTTTTGTTATTGATTCGAGTGGTATTTGAATTAATCTTGTCTGAACTACGGAAGAAGAATTTGAATTTGGGTGTAAAAGGGAGATCACACTACTCTTAACTAACTAGGCTAAAAATAAGTTTGCTAAGCCTCCAGTTTTAACAAAAATATAGTAACAAATTGCAGAGTCTAGCAAGGACTCGTATGTGATGTGCTTCCTTCTAATTATGTCTCTCTATTTAAGGGACCTAAAGCTGTCTATATCAAGCGTATCGGTGGTATTACTAGCAACCTCCACTCCTCTATGCATGTACTTAGGAGGAAGTTATTAAGAGAGCTACTAGACCCAATCTATTGTCTTATTTTTCCACTCATATTATAATCTCACCCGTCATAAAAAATTACAAAATTAAAATGCTATTTTCTCATCCACTTTTATTCCTAAAATATTCTCATTAGCACTCTCTCTCTACTCCGAGCTTGTCTGGTGAAATAATTTTAGAGCGCTTAGTGATGGACTTTGCACCATTTTTTTTTTCTACTAATCAAACTCAATACACTTTACAGAAGACTACCCTTCCTCAATTCTTCTTCCACACTTGTGTATAGAAATGTTTGCATCTATACATATGCAGCAAGTCCATATTACATATCAATTCATGCTGATATCCATTGTTGAAACATCCAACCACAACAAAAACATTAAATTTGAACCGCACAGTGGCCGGAGAAAGCAGAGAAGAGTCAAACTATGGTTACCTGGTTTTTGGGTTCATCTTCGTCTTCAAGATTTTTAGGAGAATTAATTTGCAAAAATGTAGAAAATGTGTGGAACTGAAACGATTTCAAGCTAAGTTGCACTGGGATTTTATCAGGTGAGTTGGGGTTTAAGGGTAGATAAATTGTTTGTGATCAGAGGGTTATCTTTTAAGGTTTTTATTGGTCATTTTACAGATGAATAAACTTGTAATTAAAATTTTCATTAAAAAGTGGGTGAGGAAATAAGACACTGGAGTGGAAATAGCAACACTAGTTAGTAAATGGTTGAATAAGTGAGAAAAATTAAAAAAACAGAAAGTGAATGCAAAATATGAAATTGAATTTCTATGTATTAAGTTAACACCCTAAAAGCTTCACTATATATTAAGTTAAACACCCTAAAAAGCTTCACAATACCAAGACATACTCTTCTTCCAATTAGAGTTTCAAAACAAAACAATTAAATATAATAAGAATAAAATAGTAATTTTTCAACATGTTTCAAATTGATCTCAAAATCCACCTAGTGGGCAGTTAGTTATTTTTCTTTGGTTTCTATATATTATAATAAAAAATCATTATCATAAATGTTCCCTAAAATTGATCTACACCATTAAGATGATCCCTGAAATTGAAAATCGATCACTGTAGTCCTAGAAATAAGTGTCTCACGTCAGAATGGTCCTTCCTTTGCAATTATATAAAAAAAAAAAAATTGTTATGTGCTGTGTGACACAAAAATAGGTCCCGCAAGTCTAATTAAATTAAAAATAAATTAGAAATAGATTTAATAATTTAATAATTAATTAAAAAAAGTTATCACCAACTACCCGAACTCACACTCATACCTCCATCTATGGTTAGCCTTCACCTCCTTTTCTCTGAAAAAATAAATTTCTCAAGACACCCATCTTTACACCTTTCATCGAATTGCACCAGGATCAAGACCCACTTCGGTGATAGCTTGGATTGGCTACGATTTTTGTGACACCACTATCAACATTTAGGCGATCAATAGTCTCAAAACTTGGCACTCCTCCGGTGATCTTGGTGACGCGGAGAACGGCGAGCTCTGCCTTGAGATAATCTCACTATGCAAAAAGGTATTTGGATAATTTTTTAAATTAATTATTACTCACATCAGCACATAATATTATTTTCAAAAAAATTGTGACGGAATAACTAAATTGATTTGTGACACAATTTTCAGGGACTATATTGATCGATTTTCAATTTCAAGGTATTTATGTGTTACACCAATACATAACAGAACTTTTGACATAATTGTGACAGAATGACCACATTAATTTGTAACACCTATTTTCAGGGATTACATTTATTATTTTTCAATTTCAGTGACAATTTTAACGATTTGAGTCAATTTCAAAGTCCGTTTATGATAAAAAGCCAAAAATATAAAGTTTGATTCCTTAGGTACGTGGTTTCTCTACTTTCCTAGTGAACTTGTGAATTAACACTACGGAAGCGAACACCTAACAAATTCATAAACATTAATTCCTCCCAAAAAAATGAAGCAAAAAAGATCGATACCTTTCCAAAAAAAGATTGATAAAGGAGTCAATGGGTCGATTCAGATTGGACGGATACTTTAATCTCAACCGAAAACTGGGTCAACCATTTTCTTTTGAGTTTGAAAGTTGTTTGAGATAGAAAAATCAATGTCAAATTGTCAATGCAAATTTTTGGGGCATTGCGATTTTAACCGAACTACTCGAGTGGGGGAAACTAGTAAGAATTGCCGCCTATAAGTTGTGGAAACTTTCATCATGGTTATGTCATACGTACGTTGACATATTGATGACATCCACAAATTATATACAAAATCATAGCATAACTAGGAGGAATCTTTCTACATACGAGGAACCATCTCTTTACATCCTGAGGTGAAGTTTTGAGGCGAAACAATAGCGGTTTCATTAACATCTTAATAAAATGTACAAACTTCAAAGGAGCATTTTGGATTAAATTTAAGGGCTTTTCATACAAAATGGACTCCAAAACAAAAAACCAAAGAAAATACGTGGTCAATTTGGCCCATTTAATTAGGGATGGGCATGGGTCGGGTCGGGTTGGGCCCAAATTTGGAAGGACCGGACCGGATCCGTTTAAAAATCTAACAGGGCGGGGCGGGGGCGGGTATAGCAATTCTGAGTTTTGGAACCGGACCTAATTCTAAGTTTTGGAACTGGGTCAACATTATCACCTCTGCTACAAACTCCCAATTCCACACAAGAAAGGGGAAAAACCGGAGCTGACTTTCAGATCAACCCCACAAAACCAAACGGTTCAAAACACTAAATTTCACATATTTTTCATAAAACCCATTACTATAAACACATATTTATGCAATACTTTGCAATACATTTTAGTAAATTTTCAATTCACAAGTCAACAAACCAAAATTTGGACAATGAAGGTGCCCAAACCGAGAGAAAAATACCACCGACAAGCATGAGGGAGAAGCTGAACTACAATGTGGTATCCAATGAGCACCACCGACAAGACCTTGCATAGCCGTGTGAATCCAGAGAACACACCTGCGCTCTGCAACATCCGGAGTAAAAAATTCGAATTGAAACCCGCAAATCAGAAGAAAATTTGAAAGCTTTACCCTTGAGAGTGATGGAGTGCCCATGGCGGGCGGGCGGGCAATGGATTTGCGGCGGCGATGTGAGATCAGAGAATTAGATTTTGGGTCTAAGGAAGGTATGGATTATACAGGTTGCGAATGGGCAAGAAACATGAGTGAAGGTTGTTAAAGAGGAGAGAATCGAGCCAGCAGTGATGTTGTTGAAGAGGAGAGAACCGAGCCAGTGGGATGTCGTCGAGGAGGATGGGTGGTGCCGTCGTGTTGGTCATGATGACGGAGGAGAAGACGACTAAGAGTTGGATTCGAGGGACGGACAGCGTGGAGTGAGAGTGACTGATTCTGGAATTAGGAGTCGACTCGGGAGGAAGGATGACTAGGGTAGAATCTAACGGTTGAGATTGGATGATGGTTGATATGACCAATATTGCGTACATTTCAATGTCATTTAGTTTAGATTTTTGTTATGTTTGTGAGTGAATTTAGTTCGTTTCATTTAGTTTTATATTTTTCTTAGATTTGAAGAGTGAAGATGAAGAAAGAAGAAAAATGAGCATTTTTGCAATTGAAATGAGTTTGGTATGCTGGAAGCAGAAGCTGTGCAGCCGACTTTACAGATTAAACTGTACTTCCTCAGAATGAACCAGCTGTTGAGCTTTATACCATTGGAAATATATGGAAGTCAGCTTTTAGAGGAATTTTACGGTTTGTGATTCCGAGTTTCCTAGAAGACGTTATAGTGGTTTTTGTATCAGACGTCTGCCGGCAAGGTTTACGCGGGATTTGCAAAGAGATTTCAGATTTACTAAGTTTAATAAAAGGAAATGTGCAGAAAAAAAAAGAAGCTTGTAGAAAAGTTCAAGAGTCAAGACTATTCTAAACGGTGCATGGGTGATATATCTAATGGTTTGATGTGCCACATCATCAACATACTAATCCAAGTCATAAGAGAAAGTCAAGAGTCCTATTAAAAGAGGGACTTCAGTATTTTTTGCAGGAAAAAAGGAGGATTTTGGGGAGAGCTTTTGGGAACTCGCTTTTGGGGATAAGAAGGTGTGGAGACGTAGCAGCGGGACACGAATCCAATAGCAGCAGCCATCAACCACTTTAGAGATCCATCTTCATCGTTAGGGAGTTCGTCATGTTTTTAAGATTGTTAATTATGTTTTCATATTCTATGAGTAACTAAACTCTTTTTCTTAGGGTCAGGATGATGCCCTAGCATGGATGTTTATGGTTTTTAATGTTATTCATTGGATTTCTAGTTTCCTTTAGATGAATGCTTAATCACTGTTTGAATTGAAACTTTTTGCTTGAGTTCTTTGATTGAGGACTTTGCATCTAGTAAGATTGGAAGATGAATTTGAGGCTGAACTAGCAATATAATTCAATTAGCTTCGTGTGGTTAAGTGTGGTAAATTACATTGTTGCTTGACAAAGAATAATGGTTTGCTTGGTTCCCTTGTTTTCTAGAGCGTAAAGAGTCCTACTTGTTAAATTTATGCCTTAACCATGATAGATTACATGTTAGGATATACGACCTCTACCTGAACTAGGAGATAATCATTCACTTAAGGAAAACTATGGTCTAATGTGCCTGACAAGGACTTAGATACGGGAATTATCATCTACAGAATCGAAAGATCCATTGAATGCATTGAAACCTGAACTAGATTGCTTGTGGTTGATTCCAAATCCCTAGACTTTTTCATCACTTGCTTTAAAACATAACATTTTCTTCTCTTTAATTTTAATTTTTATTTAAGGTTTTGTTTTTATTTGTTTATAAAATCATGACAACAAACTCTTCACATCTTTGATTGATTTATTAATTAAGATCGAGTCTAGTTCGTTGTTTGGGTTTATATTTTAAAGTTTTGGGTTTGTGTGTCTTTAATATAATTAGATTTGGTTTGGTTTATCAAATTGGAGATTGAATTAGAATCCTCGTGGGAATGATACTTGGACTTGCAAAATACTATATTACAACTATCTTGTGCACTTGCAAGTTTACACCAAATTTTTGACGCCGTTGCCGGGGACTCTAATTGAGTTCCCCAATTTGATAGCTTATGCCATATCTAATAAGTCGTTTATTGTAGTGTGTTCAAATTGATTTTGGTTTGTTATCTAGTTTCGAGTAAGAGTCATAACTATTAAGACAAGTAAAAGTAATTTTTGTCACTGTCTTATTTCAGTTTCTGTATCACTTTTTCGACACAGTTTTGGACTAAGTTATTCAATTTTTTACCAGGCATAAACCCAAAAAAACAAATCAACGATTGGAATTTGAGCTGCAAGAAATTTGCAAAATACCGAGCAGTGGTCAAACAAGGAGCAAAGTCTGATCGTATATGCAAGGTCGTTCGTTGCAACTTGAGTTGATTCCTATAGATCAAGAACTTGAGCGTACTTTAAGAGAACAGCGGAGACAACGAGTGCTTAGAGAACCAGCCATGGGTGAAGTAGTCAATAATGGTAGAGATAATCCTCAACCATTGCCACCACTACAACCAAGGCTCATGCGTGATTATACAAAACCAACAGAGTACAACGCACCTTCCTAGGGTTAGGATGATGCCCTAGCATGGATGTTTATGGTTTTTAATGTTATTCATTGGATTTCTAGTTTCTTTTAGATGAATGCTTAATCACTGTTTGAATTGAAACTTTTTGCTTGAGTTCTTTGATTGATCACCTTAGGACTTTGCATCTAGTAAGATTGGAAGATGAATTTGAGGCTAAACTAGCAATATAATTCAATTAGCTTCTTGTGGTTAAGTATGGTAAATTACATTGTTGCTTGACAAAGAATAATGGTTTGCTTGGTTCCCTTGTTTTCTAGAGCGTAAAGAGTTTGCTTGGTTCCCTTGTTTTCTAGAGTGTAAAGAGTCCTACTTGTTAAATTTATGCCTTAACCATGATAGATTACATGTTATGATATATGACCTCTGCCTAAACTAGAAGAGAATCATTCCCTTAAGGAAAACTATGGTCTAATGTGCCTGACAAGGACTTAGATACAGGAATTATCATCTACATAATCAAAAGATCGATTGAATACATTGAAACCTGAACTAGATTGCTTGTGGTTGATTCCGAATCCCTAGACTTTTTCATCACTTGCTTTAAAACACAACGTTTTCTTCTCTTTAATTTTTATTTTTATTTAAGGTTCTGTTTTTATTTGTTTATAAAATCATCACAACAAACTCTTCACATCTTTGATTGATTTATTAATTAAGATCGAGTCTAGTTCGTTGTTTGGGTTTATATTTTAAATTTTTGGGTTTGTGTGTCTTTAATATAATTACATTTGGTTTGATTTATCAAATTGGAGATTGAATTAGAATCCTCATGGGAACAATACTTGGACTTGCAAAACGCTATATTACGACTATCTTGTGCACTTGCAAGTTTACACCAATGGTTTATCATTCAATCTTCTCCGTCCATTGCAATTACAAACAGGCCGGTCCGGGTACCCGTTTTTCTATACTTTTGGAACCGGCCCACACCTAAAATTTCAAAGACCCGCCCTGCCCTACCCCGTTTCTCATTTTAAAAATTAAGAACCGCCCCGTACCCATCCCGACTTGTGGTTCCTATATCCGTTTGCCCACCCCTACATTTAATAGCTACCAAAGCCATAAGAACTTCAATCCCATCAACTAAAAATTCAATCACTTCATAATTTGTTGCATGGGAGAATATGCGCACAAAACTGCCAACAAAAATGGGGAACACACTTTACATACAAGCAGTGCCGACTTCAAAGATGAATTCCAAAAGAAAGACTGCTACAATAAAGACTTTGGGCATAAAACAACTTGACTTGACAATTTCTTACATGGCATGTTAACGACACAAAAATTACGGATTTCGAGTCAACAGAATAACTAATCGAGTCGTTATCGGGTCACATGATAAGAACCCGTTAATAACGGGTCCTTAACAGGTTTACACGAGAGTGACACGCGAGTAACCTGTTCCGACAGGATAAGGAAAAAGTTATTTTGATGATTTTAATTTTTTAAACTACTAAAAAAACTTACTAGTAAATACAATAGATATAATGGATATGTATATATTGTTTATAAATTATTATTGTATTATTATTCTATATAAATTTTAAAATTTAAGTTTTATTTATTTATTTATTTTTATAGTATACTATAGGCAAAGAGTGATATTAAAAAACATTATAATAATTAATCTACAAGTGCAAAAAATGTGAAAAAAATATGCAAAAGCCCGTAATCACATCATCTACGCTTTGAGGTTGGGTACATTATTGTTTGATTTATAAAACCATACAAACCCTCATGAATAGTATTTTTAAGGGAAAATTCATAATCATTAATGTATAAGTCTAAAAAAATGTGAAAGTGTATATAAACACTCGTAATTGCATCATCTACGTTTAAATGATGGTTAAATGGTCGGTTAGATTTTTAAAACCCTCCAAATCTCATGAATAGTGTTTTTGATTTGAGTGCAAAATTAAAAATAATTATTGTAGAAGCGTGAAAAATGTAATATATATATATATATATAATCACTAATAATAACAAGCTTTACAACTTTCGTGAAGTGGTCAACTCTGAAATTTAGTATGTATATACTAATTTAATTATGTTTTCCTTTTTTTTTTGGGTCAAATTATGTTTTTCATTTTCATTATTTATGACACACCCTGACCGAAATCAAGTCGTGCTGGCCGTCACCTGAGAGTGACGTAGCCATGTGCACAGTGCGGAAGCAAGAGATAAATAATAAAAGTACGAATAAATAAAAACCAAACTATTAAGTAAGCTAGTTAAGGTAACACACTAATGCGAGACTAAGTGTGATAAACATAATCAAAGCACAGAAAATCTAAGTGCAGTCCAGAAGAACGAATACTAATTACAACATCCAAAGGTGATCCTACATTTATGATGTTCTATCAGAACCACCTTCAAGTCCTCGTGAACCACCTTCAAGTCCTCGTGAACCACCAAAGTTGCTTCTAACTAGAACCTGGAGGGGCGCAAAACAAAAAGTGTGAGTGGGCAAAAACAAAGCTTTTCAAAATCATTTTATTATCAAAAGTTCTAACCCCTCGCCGTAAAACTTGTATAGTTTTCCAAAAAATAGAATATACACATATATAGAAAACATGTTCAAAAGTATGCCATGTCGAATGCCTCCACATAAACTGTAAGTAACCCAGGTAATGTCAATCAATGCAAGTAACATGTCAGCCGGAGTCACCTAACGTGACCTGTACGGCTGAATCTAGAGCTCAAATCCCCAACTCACTAACTGTACCTGCACACGAGTCGGAACCACCTAAAGCAGTCTATACAACAGGACTGGGTGTAAATAAATACGCTCAAGTGCTACGATCACGTGAAGACTGGATGAATAATTGCGGGTCACCTATGAGTTAGAACCACCTATAGTGGTCTGTATGACATGACTATGCACCTAACTTGGATCCAAGATGAACGTGTGGTGTAGGAGGTGAACATCACGTGAAGGACTATGCCCTACTCTGGGCGGGAGCACTAATGTCGGGGGTGCAGGTTATGAGCTCTCTATGCATCTCACATAACCACTAATTCACAATCATAAACCATAAACTAACCTGGCACTTACCTATGCGTCCGCAGCACTAAACATACATATATGCAACT